CTTTTTTTGTTTTGTCTTATATGCCTTTCATGTTGGTTCCATACTAATAAAGTGGTCTTCTTTCTTCATCTTGAATGTATGGTCTCATTCTTTAGCTTCTTAACCAAACATTATATAGACCTCTTGCTGATGTATTACACTTATGGCTTGGGCTTCTTCAGTGGAATTTATTATGCATATGGTGTTAATTTTTTATTTAAAAATTTGGAGTTTCAAAATCCTTTTTAATGTTAAAATTGTGATGGTCCATCATGCTCTTTTGGTACGCATGGACAACCACTTCTTCCTCCCATCTTTTTTTGTTTTTGTCTTATATGCCTTTAATGTTGCTTTGTCATGATGACCTCACCTCCTTGTCCCTCATGGGTCACGTGCCCATGCACTTGGCATTTCACTCTCTCCATGTGTCTCTCTCTCTTTTAATGTCACTTCTCTTGCCTCCCAATATTATATTATTTCTCTAGTATTTAAGCCTTGCGCAAGAGAGAGAAAGCACATGGAGATGTATGAATTTGGGAGAGTGATGGGAGTGAGGTAAAAGGAAAAATCCAGCAACCGTTAAAGAGGGATTTGATGTATTTTCTGAGAACAATGAATTCATAGAAGTTTTTCTTGATGTCTCATTTATAATTACCTGAATCGCCTATGAGGGTAGCGATTCCGTTTCGGAATCTCGATTCGGCCTTTCCTTGGGCGAAAGTCGATTCTAAAAGAAAGGAATCACATTTCCATTTTTTGCGGAACACGATTCCACTTAGTTTAGGAATCTTGATTCCTGGATTGCCGGAATAAAGATTCTCTATCGAGGACTTTATGATTCTTAGCTACACAAGAATGCGATTCTGCTTGTGAGAAACGTTGATACCAAATTTTTTGGAATTGCGAATCCATATTGTTTGGAATCAAGTTTCTATATTGTAGACCTCGTGATTCCTTGCTACACAACAATGTGATTCTACTTATGCTAAATGTTGATTCAAAGCATTAAGGAATTGCGAATCCATGTTGTCAGGAAGCAATGTGAGCATAGGGAGAGTAGAAACCCTTCCATGTGTGCTCAATCATGAGTGAGCGTGACATGTATGAGAGCGTGAGAGAATTTGAAGTTGTTATACACCGCAATAAAATCAAAATTTAAAATATGAGCAATATGTGAGCATAAGGAGAGCAGAAACCCTTCGATGTGTGCTCAATCATGAGCGAGCGCGACATGTATGAGAGCGTGAGAGAATTTGAAGTTGTTGCACATGGCAATAAAATCAAAATTTAAAATATAAGTAATATGTTAAATTTTTTATTTTCTTCTTTACTAATTTCCATCATTCATTCCATGTTACTTTTTAAGAACTCTTATCAAGGATAAATAATACTAAAAAAATATGTTACTTCAAATTTAATAATGTTTGGTAAATGGTGTGGGTGCTAAATTGCTAATGTAATAATGTTTAATATATGATCGGCACCGTCATTTCTTCAAGTTGAATAAGAGGATAAAAATGCTTTTCTTTAAGTAAAATAAGAAGATAATAAGGATATGAGTGAAGTGCCTTGTGTGGTGTTTTAGGTTAAATTAATCATTAAATATCCGAAAAATTGACTAAAAATCGAATAACTCAATTTTCAAAAGCAAAAGACTCAAAACTACATTTAACAAAGAAGAATTACTATGTCATGTACTTATTTTATAATTCAAAGGAAGGAGATAAAGGGAGCTTGCGTTTGTTCTCACTCCTTATATACCGTAGATTAGCTTCAAACCTTGTAGGCGTAATAGGGTTATCGGTAGACCGGGTCTATTGTATGGGATTGTCCACACAGATATCATAAAGGTTAACATTAGTACTTGGAGTCTTAGACTGAGTATATACAGACCAAAATTCGATCTTGTAGTAATGGGTAAATTTATATATTTTCTAAATACTTTTCTAATATGCCAGAGGGAATTGGTACTCAATTCTAGTAAGGGGAGAATCTCGATTCCAATATGGGGAGAATCATCATTCCGGAATGGTGAGAATGTTGATTCCAAGTTGATGGGGACAACGATTCTAGAATTTTAGGAATCACGATTCCTTATTTTTAGGAATCACGATTCCATATTTTTAGGAATCACGATTCCATATTTTTAGGAATCATGATTTCAGCAACCATCGAAACAAGTGGGGTCATGTGTAATTCCATATAGATATGAAACACAATTCCAACATGAAGGGACATCGATTCTTGCAAATAGGAAACACGATTCCTAATTTTTTGAATCGCGATTCTAAAATAGTGAGAATCATTTTTCTCAAATCCGAATTGTAAGGACAACGATTCCTACATTCCGAAACTTCTAATGCATGCGATTCCGTGATTCCGATTCCAGAACAATTCGAAATCACAGACGTTTCCAACAACTAGAGTCTCATGTTCTTTGAGTAAGATAAGTTTAGTTGTGATTTTTGAGGGTTTTTGAGCATGTAACTCAGTAAGTCTTATAGTTTTTGACCTGGCTGTATCTTGGGGGTGTGTTCACCAGATACCCTATTGCATCTCGGTTTTGTACCTAGTAGGGGGTGATCAACACTTCGAAGAAAGTGAGTTCCTCTCGTGCCTTCAGATCTTGGATTTTTTACTACCACTTTATTTAACTTCCAAATCTTGCTCCGATTCCTACGAGAATCCAACTGGTACTAGGAGTGTTTCGATTTCCAGATATAACCTCCAAATCCTGCTTTGACTCCTATAGGAGTTCGACTGGTGCTAGGAGCATTCTGGTTCTATTCAGGCTTTATCCCAGTTCAGGGGAGGTGCTGCTGAATTTTTCCCTGGATGAGAGTTAGTGATAGGCTTATCGAGCGTAAGTTCCACTTATCAGGCGGCTGTCAGATTTATCAAATGTAAGTTACACTTATCGGATGTAAGTTAAGCTATTGACTATGCGTTCAAGCTATCGAGCGTGTGTTAAGCTATCGATTGTGCGTTCATGCTATCGGGCGTGCATTAAGCTATCGACTGTGCGTTCAAGCTATTGGGCTTGCGTCAAGCTATCGACTGTGCGTTCAAGCTATCGAGCGTGAGTCAAGATATCGACTGTGCGTTAAAGCTATTGAGCGTGCGTCAAGCTATCGACTGTGCGTTTAAGCTATTGAGCGTACGTTAAGCTATCGAATTTTTGCCAGGTATCATCAGCTATCATCACTAGCAAAGCTAACATATGTGCGTTCAAGCTATCGAGCGTGCGTTAAGCTATCGACTGTCCGCTAGGTATCATCAGCTATCACCACTAGCAAAGCTAACATATGGAAGAAGTAAAATTTTAAAATTTTTCACTCTTGAAAGCAATCACTTTACTTACTCGTTGAGATTGAATGAAATGTTGAGAGAAGCTACATACTTTTTTAGCATCCATAAACATCTGAAGTATCCATGTGACAAGCACTTAACAAAGGATTAAATCTTTGTGCAATTGTCAAATGTTTGACTTTAGCTCCTTGTAACATTATAGAATGTCTGGATTGGCGATAAAATCTGGGATTAGGCTGCCTTTGATTAGGTACTCTTTTGTTGGTTAATAAACATCTGAAGGATCCATGTGACATAAGCAATTAACAAAGGATTAAATCTTTGTGCAATTGTAAAATGTCTGATTTTAGCTCCTTGTAACATTATAGAATGTCTGGATTGGCAATAAAATCTAGGATTAGGTTGCCTTTGATTGGGTACTCTTTTGTTGGTTAATACTTTCCAGATTTTCAGAAATAACCCTTCTCAATATTGTTGAGTTCATTTTTTGTTTTTTAAGAAATTGAAGTATATTAAAATATACTCTGGAGTTATGGATCACCTTTTTTAATTATAATCAGGTTCCCCCTAGCTTGAAGTAACTTTCTCTGCTCAAATAATATGCATTTCATAATAGATTTAATAACTTTGGCTGCTTAGGGTCTGATTGTACTTTTAGGGTCTGATTGTACTTTTAGCCTTTTTTTCTTTTTATTTATTTATTGTTTTTGCTGACTTCAGGGCTTCACTAGATTGATGAAATAAAATGCTCAAGGCATTTATACTTTATGAGATTCTGTACCTATTTTCCCCTAATTTGCGCTAAATTGATCTTATTGTTTTTTTCCTTGCATTGATTCACTTTGGTCCCAATTGTGCCCATGGTTTGAGTCGACGATTAGTTTATGTATTCAATTTCTGGGTAGTAATATTGTAGTGATTGTTCTTGTTGCTTATCATGTGTAACAGGCATTTAAAGAGATCCATAGTGGAACAAAACCTCCGGGAATGTGGAAAACTCTGCTTGGTGTTTTGTCCCCTGTTCAGAGAACCGCAAATCTTCAAAACTGTATGTTTGTGAAATTTCTTGTTCTTATTTATATCATAAAAATCATTGCTTCATTGTGTTTTCTCAATAATTGGAAGTTCCATCCATATTTTACTTCATTAATGATTGATTTTCTTATTTCCCCCTTTTAGTACAGTACAAGGGTATCGTGTGTTATGGACTGGTGTAGGAGCACAACTTGCACGAGATGTCCCCTTCTCTGCAATCTGTTGGTCCACACTGGAGCCTGTGAGTTATCATATTTAATTCTATAGGCAATACAAATGTTTTCTTATTCCTCTGTAGATTCTTCCCTGCTTATGTTTAAATATTACTTTCTTCTAGTTTTCTTATGCCTTTGAATGATGTCTTAGTTGAGCATGCTATGTGTCAGATGACTTTGACTTTATGCATTAGGTGAGTAGTTCTTCTGTAGTCATCTGGATGTGCTATGCTCCTGGAAAATTTCATCTTTGTATGTGCATGCACGTGCTTGCACTCACGTTTTGTGTGATATAGACTTGTGTAGCCCTCCAAGCCAGAATCGTAAAGAACAGGTAATATTGCCCGGAATAGGGGCCTTGTAGGGTTGCCTGTTGCCTTCAAACTTCCAAGAAACATGCACTTCTTTTAGTCTTTGGTATCCTGTTAAAAATTACTCTACAAGTGTGAGTTATCGGCAATGGCAAACATTGTAATCGATGGGATGTGTGTGGGCCCTTTTCTGGTTGCAGTGTGTTGCATCTGACTAAATATTAATATGAGCTCTGTTGCATTTGCATAAATATGCTGCTGTCAATACATATACCTGCACGAATTCAGTACCAAATGTGCGTGTGAGTATTCTATGCCACATCTTCTGTTATCCAAAGTTATATGCTGTTTGTGACAGTCATTTTTGTTCTTAAACTAGTAAATTTATCTTCTAATTTACTGTGGAAGATTTAGTGTTTTTGTTTTTTCCTTTTTTTTTCTTGTAATTGACTTTCACACAATATGCATAGTCTTAATTTCGGTCTAGTCTGGATGACTTGAAATGTTTTCGTGTTCGATAATTGGCTTTGTTTTGTGGAGAGTTAGATTAGTCTTATATTTAACTTTAGTCTGGATGACTTCCAATGTTTTCATCTTCGATAATTGGCTTTGTTTTGTGTCGAATTATATTACTGATGCATAAGAAATAAATTCACTCTTCCATATGCTTGGTGGTGATCTGAAGTGAAGCCATGTGGCTGGGTGAACTGGATTTATCTAGATGGCTTTGTTGGAATATTTTTGAAGATTTCAATCTTTTGTCAGATGCTTAAATAGTCCAACTTTGTAGTCTCCATTAGATATGACATGGTTGGTGTGATACAATTTTAAAATGTTGCAAATTGCAATATAGGTTTAGTTATCTAAAGTATGAATTATTGATCAAAGCACATAAAATAAATATAGTTTGATTGGTGATAGAATCGACATCTTTTTTTAGAGTCGTATTTTCAGTAGTGCTTGTTATTGCTCTCGAAAATTGCAAAGCCTTCTGAAAGCATAATTTCCAAACTGAAAAATGATAGTGGTGTGAATTCATGTCTGCATTCTGAATTTTGATTATTGGAAGATTTACATAAAAGATTCATTTTTGTTGTATCATTTCCATTTCAAGTTCATATGTATCTATTCGGCTATGTTGTTCATATTAAAGCCTGGGCTGTTATTCCATGCATGCAGATTAGAAGAAAGTTATTAAACCTTGTTGGTGAAGAGGGTAATGCAGCTAGTATTCTAGGGGCGAACTTCTCAGCTGGTTTTGTTGCTGGAAGCTTTGCAGCTGCAGCTACCTGCCCACTAGATGTTGCAAAAACTAGAAGACAAATAGAGGTTTGGCTTCACAATGAACTTTATGTGTGCTAGGATCCCTTTCTTTCCATAGATGTTACAATAATCCTAAATATGTTTCTTTTTATATAGGTGCTGCATAGTGCAACTCTTTGTCTTTTGCCTTGAAATCTTCAGAATAAAGAAGCCAATTTCCTTAAAAATGCAACTATTCGTAGTGATTGCTAATATGCTCCTTCTATGTGAATATTTGATGGTTGTTGGTTCATTATTTCTAATCTTCCCTGAAGTCAGATATACATCTTTTAGATGTTCTGAAAGTTCCTCTATGTTAATATCCGGAAGCTAGACCAAACTTCTTGATTGCAGGTATTTGTCTTGGATGACCAGGACATGATCGATATAATGTTTGATTTTAGTTTACAGCAGAACTGCATCAAAGATCTGTGTTATGGAGGGTTATGTTAACATGTGCAGGTTTTAACAGGGTTTGACTAAGCTCTCTTCTGGGTTTTGGTAGGAGTTTTTAGTTCGATGCTATATCTAATTCTCTTTTTGGGATTAATCATACTTAAATGTAATTTATTTGTTGGAAAACATGCTATCAATCTTCTTGTCTATTTATTGGAAAATATGAAACATAACATTGGAACCCTCAACATAGAGTGACTGAATGAGAACTCCTCGGGGGGGTTAACTTTAGATTTTATAAATAGTAGCAGAATGTTAGAGAGTTATAATAAGTACATAGTGGGAACTGTTGGTACAAATGAAAGTGGAAGTTATAGATACGTTCATAGGATTAGGATATCATAAGTGAAAGAAGCTTTGAAAAGGATGAAGATAGGAAAGGTTTAAGGACCAGATGGTATCCCGATAGAGGTTTGGTAGTGCATGGGGGAGGTTGACTTGCTGATGAAGTGTTCAACAAGGTGTTGAGACTTGAGAACAAAGAAAATGCCAGATGAATAGAGGGAAAGTATTGTGGTACCTATTTACAAGAACAAAGGAGACATACAGAATTGTGCGAACTATCGCGGGATTAAGCTTATGAGCCATACTATGAAGCTCTGGGAGATAGTGACTGAGCAACAACTAAGGCATGAAATGAGTGTATCTGAAAATCAATTTGGTTTTATGTCAGAAATGTCAACAACTGAGGTTATTTTCCTACTTAGGCAACTGATTGAGAAGTTTAGGGCCAAAGAAAAAGACCTCCACAAGGTCTTTATTGCTCTAGAGAAAGCTTATAATAGAGTATCTCGAGATTTGATTTGGTGGGTGTTGGAAAAGAAAGGAGTCTTCAGACAGTACATCGACTAGGTGAGAGATATGTACGATGGAGTACTAACTAGTGTATGAATAACTAGTGGAGAGACGAGTGAGTTTTCAGTGATAATAGATCTACATCAAGGGTCAACATTGAGCCTGTACTCTTTGTCTTAGTTATGGACGACTTAACTAGGCACCTATTGGATGAGATACCATGGTGCATGTTCGCTGATGACAGTTCTGATTGATGAGACCCGAAACGACGTCAACATAAAGTTAGAGCTTTGGAGGGATGCTCTAAAATCCAAAAGTTTTAAAATTAGCCGGACTAAGACAAAGTGTATGGAATGCAAGTTTAGTAATAATAGGAGTAGAGATGCTGAAGTAGTTAAGATTGGCGGCCAAGAAGTACAAAAAAGACCGTATTTTCAATGTCTTGGGTTGATAATCCAGGAAAATGGAGAGATTGAGGAAGATGTTGCACACAAAATTAAAGCTAGGTGGGCGAAGTGGAGATATGCAAATGTGATCGTCGCATACTAATGAAGCTGAAGGGCAAGTTCTGGATGAAATCAGCATTTTCCCTTTTCCATCAATATTCAGATAAAATGTCTTCTTTTCATTAGATTATTTTCCCTTTTCCATCAATATTCAGATAAAATGTCTTCTTTTCATTAGATTTGGGTGTCTATGGAGCCCAAGAGTTGAGTTTGTGGCCTTGTCTAAGCACATGGGGTGTGTGTTACGCCTATACAAACATACCTAGCACCTTCAATCCCAGATCTACTCTGATGTGTAGAAATGATACTGTTTTCTAGATGTAAATAATTAAATTTTTAGTTTTGCTTTTCAGAAACACCACCTGCGAATTAAGAGAGGGTAACCTCATAGATTAGGTTTATTGTCATTGACCTGTAGATCATACTTGCATTTACTATATTTTCATCATATAAATTATTAATAAGTTTATTATATCTATACTATGTATAATAACCATGGTTAAGGTAGGACAAGTGTCACTCAGCCGGGGGACGACCCTATTGAGAAAGAACTGGTAGGGGAACTGCTTAGGATCAATGATAAAATTATTCATCTTAGTGATTTGGGGTTAATGTCCCACTTTCGTTTGGGTGGGTGACAGACTTCTCGAGCATCGGTTGGACAGGAACGCTAACAACAAACCCCAAAACATCAATTGCGTGGAAAAACAATCCCGTTTTTCCTTCCCTAATGAATAATTTGTGGGCTTTAATAGTCTTTTTGGGACATGAAAAATGGGGATTCAATTGCCTTGTATGCTTATTTACATCAACTACCTATCAATATAATGGAGGAATTTTTACCTCATTAATGTCTTGAACTTTAGAAGAAAAGAGTAGAGATGCCACTAACTAAACCGAAGGAAGCCCCGCTTCTTTCAATTCTGAAACTCGGGCATTCTAGTTTTTTCTTAATGAAAATCATTTATATTTGTTATTTGATCATGGATGTAAGGTGTGCTTGTGCATCAGACAAGCTATTGATAGTTACTATAACATCTTATATATGATTTCCTAAGCTACTATAAATTGTAAATATGCATATGGGTTTGCATGTTATTTTATCATTGCTGTTTCCTACAGTTGCTGATAAATAGACACCTCTCTGATAACCCTCTATTGTTGACATCTGATGGTTTGGGAAGTGATATGAAACTGTAGGCAACCCAAATGATGGCATAGATATTTCTCCATTTTGCATGTAGTTATGTAATCATTTACTATATATTCTATCAATAAAATAGTTGTGTAGCATGTAAACGTTCTAGTTTGAAATTTAACTATTTTATAACGAAAGAAAAATGATAAAGAGTTGCCAAATCCTGAGCCATCAATCAACATGGCTAATTTTACTTTTTTACATGGAGAATATGCAGCATGGGCTATTTGAGAGGCTGCTGTAATAACTGGCGCTACTTTGGTAGGTCACATTGCCTCTGTTAAAATGGACAATGAAAACTGAACATGAAAACTCGTACCATGTAGGATTCCTTTTTGATGTATTTTGTTTGGTGGCACCTATTTCACGTTTGGGAATACATGGGAATTTATGAATTTGGATTTAGATGTTCAAATTGCTCTTGTTTTCTTGCCCCACTTCAACTGTGCTTTATTGACATGTTGTTGATAAGGAACCTTGTTCTTATGATAAATTATTGGCAAGAACGTGATTAAATCTCTTATTAAAATTTTAAAACGATGTCCATCGCTCATTCTAATTTGATGGTGTCCTGGGCTTTTCAGAAGGATCCAGCCAAAGCTTTAAGGATGACGACAAGACAAACTCTGATTGAGGTTTGGAGGTATCTCTCTCTCTCACCCCTCAAGTATAAAGGAGTTCTTAGCTATTTTTTTCTATTGAGTTTCTTCCCTTTGTGGTCTCATTCATTCATTTCCTTTACTTGAAGTTCCAGTTTTCTTCTCTTACATCGTGTGCCCATCATGTTTTTGTGTCCCTTTTTTTACATTTTTCTTCTCAGTTATCTTCTTTCTCTTAAATGTGCATTTTGTGTATTTTTCTTGATTTCCCAGTTTTAATTGTTGGGTGCCTACTCGAAGGTGTAATGTCCATTTGGTAGAATATTTTGATCGGCTTTGACTCAATTACCCCATTAATTTACATGAATATCTTTTCAGAAAAAAAAAGGAAAAGAAAAAGAAATCCTTTGAGCTTCTGGGAATGAAAGCAACTTCCTTGATGTTGCAGAAATGTATGAAACCACATCCTCTTTTCCTGAAATAGCCAAAGAAGCCCTTTGTTTCATAATTGCTTGTCATATGCCATGAATTAATGGTTTTGCCTTGGCTGGCTCCAACTATGGCCTTAAATCACTCATTTTCTCTTTTTGGTTTTGCATGACTGCAAAAGAAAGGAATTTGAACCTGGAAACCTTGCATTTCAGTGGTCAAGTAAAAGCATCAAATGAGGTTGCGTGGTTTTCTCATAATAAAATAGGAATATGTCAAAAATAAAGAGAAGAGTGGAATAATCATTATAAGAAATGAGTTTGGGTACTTGTTCCTTTACTTTTGCAGGGATGGAAGGATGAAGGGACTTTTTATGGGGGTGGGCCCCCGTGTGGCACGTGCTGGTCCTTCTGTTGGGATCGTTGTGTCCTTCTACGAGGTCGTCAAGTTTGCTCTACACAAGGACTCGTGATCCATCCTAGCAAATAAGAGTGGGGTGAGTTACAAATAAGCCTTTCCCATCTCCTGTAACTTTTTGCCCTTTCAAGAACAACAATAGCGAATGAGGAGAAGTGGGAGAAAGTGCATTTATGTGATCCAATGGAATGTAGAGGCTGTATTGAAGGTTCTTACTACAGGAAGTTTGGATCACCATCTAGTAGCTCGCGCATTTGTAGAGGATTTTGCCTTGATATTGTGGAGTATCTCAATTTTGGTTCCGCGCTCACTAGCAGAAATTCTCAAATTGGAAGGCACTCAATTTTGTTGGTCAATGAAGCCGAACTTGGAGAAGGGAAAAGTGTGCAGCGGCTGACATTTTTAATTTGAATTGAAAAATATTATTCATTGTGTTTCGTCTTAATTTCAAAGGTCCTCGAAGGATGTGAGATAACATGTCAAATTTTGTTTTTAGTAATTGTTGGGGGGTAGTTTCCGATTTGGAAAGCTTGTACTAGAATGAAAATACGAGCAGTGTTTTAAAAAATGTCGAGTCAAATCGGATTCGCCCGGTTCGACTCTGGAATCGGCACAGTTTGTGCCGGTTCCTGCATTATACACGAAATCGCCCGATTCCAGAGAGAACTGGGTGATTCTGTACTGAATCGTTGACTCTCGTGAAGAACACGAGCTGCACAGTGTTCTTTACGGATTTTTTTCAAAATTTTTTTTTTTTTTATCATTCTTTTTTCTTTTTTTTGCCATGTGATCGAATATTCAAGCTTTTATGCAGTTTTTTTCAGCCTTTTTATGCATTAAATGGTGGAAAAATTTCAAGTTTTTGGATCATGAAAGTTTCAGGTTTTAGGGTTTTCGCTTTTCGTTTTGTTTCATGCTAAATAAGACATGCCAAATAAGACATGAATCTATGAAAAGCTTGAGGCATATTGATCGTAAATGTGTCCATTAGAAATTTCTGTTACGAATTTGTGATATCTTTGAGAAAAACAGATTAATTGAAGTCACAGGTTCATGAAACAAGGTAAGAATTTTGCGTTATTTTTTTTTTTTTCGCCATTTGATCAATTTCAATTCATATTTTGAAAATAATCAGTTAAATTTGTAGGGTTTTAAATTTTTATCGTGTCTTTTATCATTTATCATATTCAATTTTATTTAATTTATTCAATTACAGTTCGAGTTTTTAAAAGAACACAGTGATGTTTGTGAAAAAAAAATTCGGCTGTTTTAATTTTTTTTTCGCCTTTTGATCTATTGTTCACTATATATTACAAATAATGTGTTAGATTTCTAGGGTTTTGAATCTTTATAGTCTTGTTTATAATCAGATGTATTCAATTTGAGCTTCATTTGTTAGATTCAATGACTGTTGTCTGTGAAGAACTGTGTTTTTTTTTTTTTTGCTCAATTTAATCTATTTGATTTGATTTATTGATGATAATGTGTTCATAATTTAGGGCTTTGATTCCTTATAGTGTTGTTTATCAAAACATGTATTCAATTGGATGTAATTTATTCGTTTGGAGGTGGAATTTTTTAATTGAAATGGTTGATGTAAGATGGCTTTGTAAAGAACAGATTTTTTGTTTTATTTTTTTTTTTGTTTTTTTTTGTTTTTTTTTGTAATCCATGATCGAATTTTTTGAAAATTTGAGATTTTCGAAAAGATGTGAAAGTCGTGACAAGATTTTGATTATCATGAGGTATTAAACCATATTTTTAATTTTTATTGTTTGAGTTTGCTGTGCTTTTTTTTTTTTTTTTATTTATCCGCGATCGAGTTTTTTGAAAAATGATGATTTTCTGAAAAGATGTGAAAATTGTGACCAGGTTTTGATTATCATGAGGTATTAAACCATATTTTTAATTTTTATTGTTAAAGTTTTTGTTAAAAAAATTGTATGTTGATAGATTATTTATGTAAAAAAATGCATGTTATTATATTTTTAATGTAAAATTGTATTTTTTTAATTTGTTGTTAATGCATTTTTGAGTTGGAATGATTGATGTTAGGTGGCTCTTTGAAGAATTGTTTTTATGTCTTTTTTTTTTAGTACAGGATCGATTTTTTTTGAATAATCGTGATTTTTCGAAAAGATATGAAAGTAGTGACCAGGTTTTGATTATCATGAGGTATTAAACCATACTTTTAATTTTTATGGTTAAAGTTTTTGTTGAAAAAATTGTGTGTTGATAGATTATTTATGCAAAAAAATGCATGTTATTATATTTTTAATGTAAAACTGTATTTTTTTAATTTGTTGTTAATGCATTTTTGAGTTGGAATGACTGATGTTAGGTGGTTTTGTGAAGAATTGTTTTTATTTGTTTTTTTTCTTTAGTACATGATCGATTTTTTTTTAAAAATCGTGATTTTTCGAATAGATATGAAAGTAGTGACC